TGTTGTTGGTGTTGTTGGTGTTGTTGTTGTTGTTGTTGTTGTTGTTGTTGTTGTTGTTGTTGTTGTTGTTGTTGTTGTTGTTGTTGTTGTTGTTGTTGTTGTTGTTGTTGTTGTTGTTGTTGTTGTTGTTGTTGTTGTTGTTTTAGATGTTGTTGTTGTTGTTGTTGTTGTTGTTGTTGTTGTTGTTGTTGTTGTTGTTGTTGTTGTTGTTGTTGTTGTTGTTGTTGTTGTTGTTGTTGTTGTTGTTGTTGTTGTTGTTGTTGTTGTTGTTGTTGTTGTTGTTGTTGTTGTTGTTGTTGTTGTTGTTGTTGTTGTTGTTGTTGTTGTTGTTGTTGTTGTTGTTGTTGTTGTTGTTGTTGTTGTTGTTGTTGTTGTTGTTGTTGTTGTTGTTGTTGTTGTTGTTGTTGTTGTTGTTGTTGTTGTTGTTGTTGTTGTTGTTGTTGTTGTTGTTGTTGTTGTTGTTGTTGTTGTTGTTTTGTTGTTGTTGTTGTTGTTGTTGTTGTTGTTGTTGTTGTTGTTGTTGTTGTTGTTGTTGTTGTTGTTGTTGTTGTTGTTGTTGTTGTTGTTGTTGTTGTTGTTGTTGTTGTTGTTGTTGTTGTTGTTGTTGTTGTTGTTGTTGTTGTTGTTGTTGTTGTTGTTGTTGTTGTTGTTGTTGTTGTTGTTGTTGTTGTTGTTGTTGTTGTTGTTGTTGTTGTTGTTGTTGTTGTTGTTGTTGTTGTTGTTGTTGGGGGATCCTTGTTCTTCATGTTGACACCAAGTTGGTGGATACAATCCCCTATGGTTTCCTTGAAGGGAATCTCCAGGTTCATTCCCGAAATCTGGAACGGTCATTCGCTGAGGCATGACCAGCTAGCGGAGCTGTTCACTGAATGGAAGAGCATGTCAAGTCATGCTCAAAGAGCCAAAGCGGTTTCGGTTCCAGTACACTCACACCAGTAGAGACCGAAGGAACTGAACAACTTGACACCCACACACACATGACTGGGGAACCCCATGAGGTAATGTCCTTTGACCCGGATACCTTGCTATATTTTGCGAAAACAAAGTTCCCTACCAGATCTTCAGGCGGCCTCTTTCCTAAAGTATCGGGTCTAGTTTTGGATGAGTCACGGGTTTCGGGTTGTGATTCATGTGTTGCTTGGCCAATGGCCACTTGGGCTTAAGCTTGCTCGGACCGCCGACACACCTGCGCAAGCAGGCAGCCTGGTCGTCAAAGCAGTTTTTGTGCCATTTGCTTGAACTGAGGGCGCAGAAGGATGGATGTGAGAAAAATTATAATGGAGTTGGGCGCGAGCGAGCTGGGTGAAGGAAGGATGGAGAAGCCTCTTCCAGATGAGGTTCACAATGGACATGACACACATGTGATTCATGCCGAGAACGAGATACCTGAAAGCGAGAGGATGGAGGAGACCAGCGCGAAAGACCGGAGACGTAAGTGCAATCAGGGAATCAGTGTTTTGTGTGTTGTTCTCTCAGTGTGCCTATTAGCCATTGCTTTGCCGCAGCATATTAAAAAGGTGCCATCAACTGGTCAGCGGTATCTAGATTCTTGGGGTATCGGTGCAGCTGTCTGGGCATTATTTTTTTTGGTTGGGGCGTGTGCTGCTCTGACCCCGAAAGTGGAAGACGCCGAACTGTCCCACGAGGGCAAGGAGAAGTACGGAACATCTGCAAAGGCTGTGAGAGACACATTCAGCAAAAGAAAGTATTGGTTTGCGAAGAGTCTCTTCTTGCTGGCCCAGGGCATCATCAATGCGGCCTTCATTCTCCACAATTTGGTGACCCTGCCAGTGAGAGACCCAGAAGAGCTTTTTAACCAATCCAAGCACCTCGTGATCTGGGTGGAGTTCCCTTTGGAAATGCTTTTCGTGACCCAGCTTCTCATGGGTCTGATAGTCCTTCTTTGCGGCAAAGGCAACTCAAAACTCCCTCTACCTTGTGCGTCAGAACTCGCTGTATATTGTGCAAAGAATGCCGGGCTGGTTGCGAATTTTTCAGTATTGAAGTCTTTACCGAAGGCCAATCCGATGAGGGAATTCCAGGAAGTGGCCACAGAGATGCACGCTCGAGGTTGTAAAGCGGCAGTTGCAGTGGTCATAGAAAATTTGATCCTTGTTTGTCTGGCCATCGTGGCAGTGCTCATCAAAATCACGCAAGTCGACTTCGTTATCAACAAAGAGGCTTACCAGTGGGACTTGGGCGAGGTTCTGGCCGTGGCTGGCTTCATCAACAATCTTGCGGGCCTCTACCGCGACAGCGACGCAAGGATGCAAGCTGTATTTCAGGTTCTGGATGACAGTGATTCTGAGCATTTGATGCACAAATGGAAACTCAATCTTTCATCAACATTGCGAGAACTTTACGGCGGTCCAGTGGCCTTTGCCATCATGTGCACGTTGTCTGTTGACGACGTATGCCAACTCGTGCGGCACGACGTAGGCCAACTCGTGCGGCACCCCACTGCCAAAGCGACTGAGTGATGTTGAATCTCTGAAGTCTCTGGCGGATGTGGTCGTGCCAATCTCATGCCAATCTCATGTTGTTAAGATGCAGCATCATCACCCTGGACCACTCTGAAGATGCCTGAATGACTTGCTTTCTGCTTCGCTGGCAAGCTTGCTTCCTGGACTTTCATGAGGCAACTTGGCTGTAAAGTACCCCACGCTTGGTGGGTTGCTGTGCCGTTGTGACTGGCGTAGTATGGCAGGGCCCTGGAAAAGGCTTCCTTCCTCAACGGTCAAGCGCCGACTCACTGTCCTCAAGCCCGCACACTCCATACCTGTACTTGTGTGATTCCTGTTCTGGGGTCGGACAAGCAAAGCCTAATGATGAAGGTTTTTGGATTGAAGATCTCTTACTTCAGGGCAAGTGCGCTTGGACCACTTACAGGGAGCTTCTCGGGGATATGGCTCTGAGTTTAAATATGGAACCACCTCAAAGTGGTTGTCCCCCATTAAAATTCGCACTCATATCTTCGACCATGGCCCTCCCTTTCTGCGCCTGGAGGACCAGTCCAGTTCCACCGACCAAACGCCGAATCGGCGTGGTGCAGGCTTGAAAACAACCCGAACAGGGTCGTTTCAGCCGCAAAAAAGCGACAAACCCGAACAATTGACCTGAGACCAGCGACAAACCCAAGGCCTCGACGCCTCAGCTCACGTCATTGGCAAGTTTGGTGGGCAACAAGAACCCCAAACAGCGTCCCGTTTTCTACCGGTGTCATACGGCAACTGCTATGATGTTACGAGAGAAATCAGGAAGCAAACTGGCGTTCATCACCATTGATGGACGCGTAGTTTCTTCATTTCAGGTCATCCCGCTGACACATTGTTGCTTGGGTCCTAGACACTACGCACGGTGTGTCGTGTTTGCTTCAAATTGGTCTTCCAGTACAATTCATTCTCTTGGATGCTGGGTTGTTGGACCCTGAACCTAATGCCAAGAAGTAGGTGCATTGACGAATGATCCTACAGATTCAGGCCCCATAGACAGCTGGCCATGGATACATGAGTTGCTGGTCTCAAAAGCAGTCCGCGAATCGCGAGTCGATCCTTTCACCCTGCGTTGCCCAGAGCAATGATCAACATTCACTGCTGGAGCAATTTTCCCGTCCTCGCAGCCTTAAATAACAGTATAAGGCTCATTGGCGCCTCGCTTTGAATGGGGTTAAATCCAAAAATGACAAACTCGGTTGATTTGCCACTTTGGGGTGTGGTGATTAAACCCGCCTGTCAGATCTTCCAAGTTTCCCCAATGCACTCATTTTGATTACCGGTGAGCGCAAAAAAGGACGCATTGCAGCCTTAGCGGGGGCTCGCTTGATTCATCAAGATGCTAAACTTTTGCTGGGGCATTCTTGCCCCACCTTTAAGTTTGTGCAACCCATTGAGACGCGGGAACGAGATTGCTAGAAGGGACCTTATTTACGATGCCAAACCCTTTCATCCTAGTGCTGCTTCTTGCACCTTGAGTCCGCGCGCGCGGGTGTGTGTGTGTGTGTGTGTGTGTGTGTGTGTGTGTGTGTGTGTGTGTGTGTGTGTGTGTGTGTGTGTGTGTGTGTGTGTGTGTGTGTGTGTGTGTGTGTGTGTGTGTGTGTATGCGTGCGTGCGTGCGTGCGTGCGTGCGCGCGCGTGCGTGCGCGCGCGTGCGTGCGTATATAATGTCAGCCTCATGTTTAAAAACAAGGTCCCCCCAGAACTGTTTTTGGTCGGTCTGGAAATAGTGCATCTCGCAGTACTTGTAGTACTGGTTAGTACTACTTTGTAGTGCTGCTTGTAGAATTGAAGCCACCTAAGGGAAGAAGGATATATATTCCCTTAGGGAAGACGTCCCTTGAGGTTGTTGGCTTTTGAATAAGAGCCAAGAGATAGCCGGCACGCCAGCATTTGAGACTTCAATGGCTGTCTCTTTCTCAAGTGGTTGCTCATTATACAGACCTTTTCTGGGAGTTTGTTTTGTGGTAAGTGCAAGGCTCTACTGCGTTCGGAGCCACTCCACGGAAAAGAGACGTCCATCAAACAAGATGTGACCGGGTTTGGACGAGGTACGAACTCTGCAGCAGCTTGGGAACACTGGCGCCGAAGGACTGCTTGTGAGCTTCGTTCTCAACTTCACTTTCCAGGAGTGTTTGGTCTGAGGTTCCATTGTTGGGTGTATGTATGTTCAAGCAAAACTAGCAAGCCCTTGCATGTCCATTGTGCCTTTTGGGTCATGTTGAACTCAGATTTCTTTTGGGGTGTTAACTTGACACGTAAGCTATGCTGTTCTCCCACGCAAGCACAAATTCCAATGTCGTTCTGCGCCTTTCCGTTGTCGCCCGTGTCTTCCTCAGTGTGCGCCCGTTCGGGGGGAAAAACTCTGCAACGAGACTGAAACCGAAGTGAAGCCCTTCCAAGGTCCTAGGCCACGGCGTGTGAGAAACATGCCAGACTTTTACCAACTTTGGCGGGTCTGTTTATGCGCAAATTTGTTTGGAGTTGGGCAATACTGAACTGCCGAGGTTGCAGGAGGATTCCATGAGGACTTCAGGAGGATCTCAGGCAGATTGGAGGATTTCGTCCACGTAGCTTGGTTGCATGGGTGTCCACCCACAGGCATGCTTGCCCAATATCTTGGGGTTGCTTTTTTTCAAGGGGGGGGGAGGACTGGACTGGTGCGGCGGGGACAGAACTACTGTGGGCTGCCGTTTTCTGGTTTGGGGGAAGGACAAGCAAATGGAGGAGATTGGGCCTAGTCATAGATGGGGAGGTACTCGTCTCTTGTGACGACTTGTTTCTCGTCAGCTTCCCTTTCAAAGCCCAGCGCAAGTGGTTCCCGCATTTCGGACACACCCAAAGCAAGTAAAAAACCTTTGTAGTTTTCACAAGCAATTCGGCTCAGTGACGCAAAGCTCTACAGCTGAGGTGGGTTTATTTCTTTAGAAGAGCAGCAACTCGGTTAGAAACAACGATGCCAGGTGCCCTGCGCCCCCGAGATGGTTGAACCATGTCCGTGTGACCATGGGATGATAAAATGCGAGCCATGCTCCTCGTGTAAGTCAGCCCATTGGTGCTTAGGCAAACGCTTGCCATTCTGGTACTCAGACATCTTGGTTTGGTGTGTTCATTCAGAACTTACTGATGTCAATAGCAGCTGATGCAGAGGAAACTCATGCGCGCTGAATCGTTTTGGCCCATCTGGCTATGCAGGAACCGCAGGAACCTTTCCACGCGTTGGTGTCATGTTGATGTGTCTTTAATCTTCCCCCCCCCAAAGCGGTCCGACTGGTTTTGCCGCATTCTTACTTGGCAGGCCCACAGCTTCCGGAAATGCAAGCGGCTTCGGGATCCAGGAATCCCGTGTACAGGGCATGCCCCTTCCCGTTACACGGATGGGAGTCCCACCGCGGAATCACGGAAACGTGTGCCTCCCGCCATGGATGCATGGGTTGGATAGGGCCACTATGACAGAAGTATTCCAACCCGCCCTTTCCAGCTTTCATGTTGGAGACCGGATGCAAGTTGTGCAGCAGCACTGAGCAGCCCGCACATTGGTTTTCGCATCATTGTTGCGCCAGGTTGGGCGTGAGCACAAGGCCCAGTGCTTGTCAGAGGATTAAGGGTTCATCAACAGGCCCCATTGCGCAGTTCTCGGACAAAAGGGGCCTCCATAAGAAATGACGTCCGTGACTCCAAACTGGAACTCCTATACCTTTGGCCACCTAGTCAACCGGAAGGCTGAACCATCGGTGGCTCGATCTGTTAGGAGTCTCTCCGGCTGTGGCTTCTTTGTGCAGTCACTGCTGCTGGCGTGTCCCCGGATCTGCCAGAGCCCTAGGTCCAAATTGTTCTCCCGGCACTGGGTCCCTTGTCAGGGAAGTTGAAGGGCTTTCGCTTTTGTTGCAACGTTTGGGCGGGAAATAGCAGGACCCCCCACGGCCTCTAGGAAGAGTCCTCCGGAGAAGTGAGGGGTGAGAAGTCCGCTGTCAGTACTTGGGGGAGTGAGCCTACGGCTCGACAGTGTCAAGATAAGGATTGTCGTGCGAGTGATTGTTATTTGTTCTGCTCCATTGAATAAACAATTTCATACAGGCACAGTACCACTTGTTTGGCAATAAGGACGTGCGCCAATGTCTGACATGTGGTCTAAAATTTGTGTAAACAGCTTGGCCTAGAGCAATTCAGAACTTGGCTAAGACTGGGGTTCCCCACCCGACAGGAAGGGGTTGTTAGATTTTATGTTGGAATCCGCAATTGCGATGCTTCTACACCACGCCCCCACCCATCATCCCGCTAGAGCAGCTCGCCAGTGGATCCCGCCGAGTATCCCGCCAGAGCAGCTCGCCAGTGGATCCCGCCGAGTATCCCGCCAGAGCTGCTCGCCAGTGGATCCCGCCCAGTATCTCGCCAGAGCTGCTCGCCAGTGGATCCCGCCGAGTATCCCGCCAGAGCGGCTCGCCAGTGGATCCCGCCGAGTATCCCGCCAGAGCTGCTCGCCAGTGGATCCCGCCCAGTATCTCGCCGGAGCTGCTCGCCAGTGTATACCCGTCGAGTATCCCGCCAGAGCAGCTGGCCAGTGGATCCCGCCCAGTATCCCGCCAGAGCTGCTCGCCAGTGGATCCCGCCCAGTATCCCGCCAGAGCGGCTCGCCAGTGGATCCCGCCAAGTATCCCATCAGAGCGGCTCGCCAGTGGATTCCGCCGAGTATCCCACCACAGCCCGCCAGTGGATCCCGCCGAGTATCCTGCTGAGTATCCCAGAGTAGCTCGCCGGTGGATCCCGCCAAGTATCCCGCCAGGTACCTCGCCAGTGGATCCCGCCGAGTATCCCACCAGAGCAGCCCCGCCGAGCATCCCGCCAGAGCAGCCGCCAGTGGATCCCGCCGAGTATCCTGCTGAGTATCCTTTGCCGATGGATCCTGCCGAGTGTCCGGCCAGTATCAAGCCAGGGCGGCGCGCCAGTATTCGCCAGTGGATCCCGCCAGTATCCCGCCAGAGCAGCTCGCCAGTCTGGTTTTGCTTAATGTCCCGCCCGGCGCACAGTTGGGTTTACATTTCATGTTGGTGCCTTCGTGTTTTGAGTGTACCCTGAGGCTCGGAAAGGGTGATGCTTTTGTGTTGCTTTGGGTTGTGAATGAGCAACTTTGTTTAATCCCCCGTCGGGTTTCTTTTTGGAAGGGGCTGGCTTTTGTTAACGGAACCGATGTTTGAGTTCTCGAGAGCGGCTTGCAGACAAGTGGAGTTTGACACACAGAGTGGTGGATAAGGAAGCTTGTTGAGCAGTCATAGGCCCCAAGCCACTCGAAAACCATGCTTGAATTCACACAACCGTGTTCACGGTCGTAAGCTCGTGAGTGTGGAGGCTGGGAATTGCTCGAAGCGAAGAAATTTGATGGGACTCGTGTGAAATGAAAGCACATTGAAATGGTTGTTCCCATTGAGAGGACTATGTCCATACCTCACCTGCGGGTTGGGCCGGTGGACTGGCAGCAAGCAACATATTAGGAGGCCTACTGAACAGTAGAAGTTTGGAACTGGAGAGAGAAATGGTAGGAAGCAGCCTGGCAAGACGCAGGCCCAGGAAAAATGAGGATAGAACGTGTTGATACCAAGTGCAGGATGAGCTGTCAGCAACGGGGGAGAAACCAGGAGTGAAGCCCGAAGCGGGAAATGAACAGCTGCTGGATTTGTGTGTGTGTACAAGCGAGCATGGTGGCGTTGCTGTTCTGCGGTGGTTCTTCCCAACACGTGACGCCGTTTGTTGGTCAATCGTTCGGGGCACTTTAAAGTGACCTAGCAAAGGCTTTGCACGGTGTGCGACCTCGCCCATGAAGTTATCCTTCTTTGGGGTTCCTGACTGAAGCCGAGTTTCCGTTCTATTTGCTGTTTAACTCAAGCGTTGTTGCGAATGACTGTACCTTTTTTAGTGAGAGTGCATGCTTGATGCTTCTTCTAGGGTTCCTGTTTTGGACGCCCGCGAATCATCCGGTCTTCCTGGGGAACGCCTATTTCCATGTTTCTCTTCTAAGTACCAGCCGTCTGGGGCCGTCCTTTTCCCTTTCGGGCCACTGGGCAACTGACTTGATGTCTGTCTCCTTTGCTATGAGGTTGGCTGAGCGTATCTCCAGGCGGGGTCATGGTGGGCGGCCGAAGCGAGGGAAACCTATTTCAGCCATAGGCAAGAGGCAATGTGTAGCGAATGTCCTTTGACCGAACTCCTTCCGAAAAACGGGACCGTGACAGCGGACCCCTGGCCAATGCAGTCACCGCTGTGAAGGCTAGGTATCTATGCTGAAACAGCGAGTCTTACTATTATGAATATGTAGACAAAACTAGATGTATCGCTATAAATGTCTTATTATTCAAAGGTACACTATAGCCAGTGTTTAGAGGAATAGCCAGGCAATTAAAGTTGGATGGGCACTCTCCTTTCATGAGCGTCTTCCGAGCGTGTAGTCCTGACTCGGATTCAAGTAGAATGTCGCACTCACCCGTTTCAGTCGGTGTCGCTTCAATAGATGAAAGAAGGCAGGATAGGTTGATTGAATGATACCATGGCAGAAGAAGGAGGTAAACGCAACCTTGAGCTGTCGCACCCATGCTAACGGTTGCTTGCGAGTTCCAGCCACAAGATGATGGGTAAATTATAGTCTCACAAAGCAAGTTAGCGAAGCAAATGAACTTTGGTAAATGATTCAGTCATGTTTCTCCTCATGGGTGCACTGCTTGCACCCTTGGTCAGGGATGTCAAAGGGACTCCAAAACCATTTTTTGGTGTCCCTATCATAGCTATGTTGCAGCCGTGTCTCGGTTTCTCAGCTTCGTGGACGAAGCCCTCGTCTGCTTGGAGCGCCATCTGAAGGAACCGGAGGCTGGGAGCGCCGATGGAGCCCGAAGGTCGAAAGCCAAACAAAAAATTGGCGTCTTTATGCCGACCCCAAGCAGGGTACACTCCCATAAAGTTCTGACTGAGGGGTCGTGGAAGACCATTTTTTTTGAAAATGGACCCTTTGCTGAGTTCCACACTAGTGGACAGGGTACCTTATAAAAGGACAGACCCTCATGTATTCCAGGCAAATTTGAATATTTGCGCTTTGAGGGGAGTTCCAGTGAGCCTTGTGTGGGCAAAACGCGCGCACTGCAAAAGTGAAGTAGGGTCCCTCCGAAAGTGCAGGATGCTGCAGCTTCCTTTCTGCCTGCAATCCTTGTGCGAAAAGTAGCAACATGACGAGACGAAAAGTCTCTTAGCGCAGGTCTTCAACTTGCACGAGTGGCAGTTCATCTTCATGAGCTTGTGGTGCTGATGTCGGGATTGTTATGTCATGAATTTGTCAAGCGGCTGAAATCCGAGTTCCCAGGGACGGTTTCCCTTACTCAGAGATGTGTCCCATGCCCCAAGCTCGAAGCCCCCCCCCCCCCCACGGGTGCCATGTTTTGCGAAGGAGGGTGTTCGAGCAGCTTGCTGTGAGAAAACGGAGGGAAGCTCCACTTAGTCATAAACCAGATTCCTCTTGTAAAACAACTCTATCCCATCTAGCTAACTTGACAGCGCCCATCAAGCTTTGTTATTCCTTCAACCCGGAAAATTCAGGCTCAAATGGTTGTCCCACCAACTTAACTTGGTGTTTTGTTTTTCCCCCCAACTTGAATCAAATCCCAAGAGTTGGTTCGGATTGGCTGATGTAAAGCCGTGGCTTGGGGAAACCCTTGGTTTGGATTGGTTGATGTTAAGCCGTGAGGGGAAACCACCAACCCTCAAACTAATCCAAAGATATCCAAAGGCAAGCTGATTGAAATCGTTTCTGCCACCAACCCCCAACCAATCCGAAGGAAAGCTGATTGGACCCACCGCCAGCCCGCCTCCGTCGCCGACGAGGCGAAGCTGCGGGGCTTGCAGCTCTTGGTGGGCACGCTGCGTCAGATGGGCGGCCAGGACCGGATTTCCACGCCCCAAGACCCGCCATTTGAGTTTTTGTTGCCAAGTAGGGTTCAAGTAGGGTTCGGCCTTGGCTTAGCCGGTTGTCCTCCCTTTTTGGGTTGTCTTGTTCGTTCTATTTGTTTTTGGGATGGGTAACCCGCTAAACCAAGGCCATCACATGTCTCTCACCAAATGCCGTGAGAGACACTGTTTCACCCAGGAAGAACATGGATTGGGGTCGGGGGCACTCTTCGGCGGGGCTTCGATCTTGCTTGCGTGTGGTGTAGCTGGTTGTACTACCTGGTTTCACAAAGGAGCTATATAAACCTTGACAACCATGCATGTTAGTAGAACCAACAGTCAATAGGTTTTGGTTGCTGCTCCCATGGTATAAACCCCGAAATTAGGAAGAAACGCAATTGAGGTGGGGAAATAAGGAAAGGTAAATTGTACACAAATGGTCGATTTTGGTGCGGGTCGAACAGAAAACTGAGGCCGAAGATGAACAATTCTGCTCCGCTGCCAGGTCTAGAAGGCTTTGCGAGAGAACACTAAGGATAGAAACATCTTGCTGCCAGGAGGCAGACTTGAAGATGATCTGCGATCGGGCCGTGGCACTGTCCAGCAAGATGCCTTCCCGCCTAGTCTTCAGACGGTCGGTCGGGATTCAGGTGTTCAATGGCGAGCCCAAAGACGGGGTTCTTTTTTGGTTAGACCTGCCTCGTTTTGTTTTTGAAGCAAACCAAAAGGAAGCCAACCATTTGTTTGGTCCTGTAATTTTGAGAGAAACCCACATGTTCACATGGGTGTAGAGATTGATGTCTAAGTGTGGTTGCACTTCGGGATAGTGCTCTTTGGCTAGCCATGAAGCCAAGTCCGGACCCGCTTTCGTCATCAACTGAAAACACCCAGCGCTGTGGGGACTGCGAAGTGCTGAGCGCGCGACAGCTGACTGAAATTGTCCTGATCAAGACGTGGTTCTGCCTCAAGCTGCTTAAGTTGTTTTCAAGGCCCTCGTGGAATCTACGACAAGATTATGTGTATTTTTTGTTTATGTATATTGTACACACATATATGAGACTCTGCTTTCTTGGGGGGGAGGGGTTGAGTAGACATCCCGATCTGTTTCCTCTTTGAATTGAGCGGGTTCTCCGCCAGAACTTTGTTTTATGTAATTATGGGGTACATTCAGCATGACGCAGAGTCTAGAAATGCGATTTCCTGTGTACCCCAGATGTGGGCCAAGTTAAATGGATAACCTTGGGACGCGATGCCAGGATGTCCAAGCGCCTCCAGACCCGTGCCTTCTGCCTTTGCTGCGAGCTGCCGCGTGCCTGGTTTGCCTTGAAAGGCGCTGGACTACAGTTGGTTCATGAGCCCTTTCCTGACTGTTTTATTCCTCAATAAGCTATCTTATTCAAAACCTAATCCCCAATGGTTGGCGGATTGCGGATTGTGCGGTTTATCGGGCTTGCGGATTGCGGATTATGGGTTGCGTCGATTTTCCAAGCTCCAACATACGGTTTTGACCCAACATTTGTAGCGTGGATTACGGATCAAAAAGATTCAGCAACCAAAGCAAGGATTAAGCGGATTACGGATTGCGATTAGACACCCGGGATTTCGAGCAGACTAGATAGCAGTCTTGTAGATATTTCAATTTACAACACAACGTGGTAGTTGTTTTGCTTAATCGGCGGCTGAACAAAGGAATGTTTCGACGCAACAAGGCACCTTTCTTGATCTCAAAGTCCTGTACCCCCAAGCCTCCTACAAGAACAATATCAGGAGTTTGAAGAAGTACATTCAAGAGCCGTTCAGTTCGAGTGCCTTTTTGCCATGCATTGCAGTCAAGTGCCCATGCATACATCCATGTTGCTTGCCAGCCGTCAAGCAATGCGAACGTGCATGTATGCCACTGCCACTGAAGTTGCTGAGGTTCTGGCTGCCCAAGTGGAACTTTCAGGCACCGGGGAATCTTCCAGGTTTTAGTCTGCAGCCAAAGGGACGACATATATGCACGTTTGTATACGTATATCAAATATATATATATATATAGAGAGAGAGAGAGAGGAACACATTCCTTGTTTCGGGGAATCTGACAGCACAGGCGACTTGTGTGGCAGCATGTTCAGCATTGAACTGAACGGGCAGAAATACAGCAGTGTCTGGTTCCATCCTGCTGCAATCATTGCTTTGCAGAGTCTTGACAACTGGAGGTGTTCGTCCCATAGGCAATAGAACGTTGGCTTCTGAGCAGGCCATTCGCATTGCAATTCCAGATGCGGTTGACTCTTGGAAGGACTCAAACAGAATGCAAATCGGTCTCACTTCAGTCAAATCATACATAAGCCTTGGGCGACCACAACTTCTCAATGTGGCTGAAGCAGTTTAGCATGCTATGGCCCAGATTGCTCTGACACGGAGAAGCCCCTCGTCTTCAAAGCCGATGTTGCAAGCTGCAAGGTGACGTTCCATGTGACTTTGAGAGCTTGGTTTCGCAAGGCCCTTCAGTGGTTGCTAAGCTCGGACGTAGTTGTCATATGCGGTTTAATTTGATAGGTCCGAGCTACTAGCTAAATGAGATGACAGCTACTATCACATATGCTACTAGCGATAGGTCTGGTTGTCATAGCGGCCTCAAATGATCTTATGTTGATGGGTCCCAGCTACCTGGCCTCGGAATTGCCTACGCGGACCAAGGATACAAGCAAATGCTGGATGGATGAAACCCGCACTATTTGACTTGCAAAAGTCTGATGGGAGCCACAAGACATTCGGGGACCAACATAGTCATTTTTTACGCATGTGCTGAAATCATTTGGTTGTTGATTGGTTTTTTGGTTGGTCGGATGGTTGGTTGGTCGGTCAGCTGGCTGGCTGGTTGGCTGGCTGGTTGGCTGGTTGGCTGGCTGGTTGGTAGGTTGGTTGCCTAGCTGGCTGGTTGGTTTGCTGGCTGGATGGTTGGTTGCTCACCTGGCTGATAGGTTGGTTGGCTGCCTGGTTTGTTAGTTGGGTGGGTTTGCCTGTTTTTGCTTCCTTATGTTTTTCGCATTTCAGACACCAACCTTTGAATGTACGCGCAGGACGCAGACCGGGGCCTTCTGTGCCTGCGGCGTGCCCTGCAAAGTGCCGACGGCCGGGGCGCTCATGCGAGCATTGCTCATGCGAGCATTGGTGGGCGCTTGGGGCTGGGGCATGTCGGGGTATGTTTTGGTCGTGCGGCGTGGTAGCTTCTCAAACCATTAGGCAACCAAGCAAGCAAGCGCAACCAACAACAATTCGCCATTTATATCCTCCCAGGTACCCGTTTAAGCTTTTGCCCGCCGCGAACGCTCAGCCAGGTTCGTCCGCCCAAGGCAAAATCGGGAACTCGGCCAGTCGCAGGTATGACTTTCATAGGCAGCCCAAGCATGTTTGGTGGACATAAAGCCGCACGTACTCGATGTCCGAGGAGGCACGAAAGGGTCCGCCAATTCAAACATATGCCCACCGATAACTCCTTAGTTCTCAATACCTGCTCTTGTGAGCTTTTTGGTTCCGTACCTTTCCAAGGCTTGTTCACATGCACCGGCAACGAAAGGGGTCATGTTCGATCTTTTGACCGTATGTGAGCTCTTGTCAAATGGGTGATTCCTGGTTTCAAGCGGTAGTGAGGAGCCGATCACCGCAGGCGCCATCCACTCGGACCCCTTGGATGTGGGTCTCTTCGTTGAGATCCTGAACGAGGCCGACAACGGCTCTCCGGGCGAAAAGGTGGGTGTTAGTTTACGGTCAGACGCATCGCCGGTTTGGACTGGTAAGGAGGGTAACGCGATAAGCCAGGAAACAAAGTGGGGGTGACCTCTTTGGAAAACCGGCTTATATAAATGCAGTTCTTTGGGAGTCCGGGGAATACGGGTGTGTTGAGTTGGTACCGTTGCCTTGCTTCATGCAACCAGCACTCAGCGACCGGTGTCCATTTTGAGGCACCCGTTGATACCAAAGGAATCTCTCCTTTGAAGTGGTTAAACAAACAGTCATGGGAATCCACTCAGCACAGAAAGGGGCCCATACACTTCAGCCCTGAAAGATGTGAGAAAAGAAAGCCACAACGTGGTAGGTTTTTCCTGTTGAGTACTTGCAATACTTGAGTCAACCAAAACAATCAAAACCCAGTGTCCCTTTCTTCCATGCCTGGGCAAGTAGGGGAATATGTTCCGAAGATGTTGCACCTCTGGTTGCACTGGAACCACTGCCATGGCCATGGGCTTGTTTTTGTTGCTGCAGGCTTCATTTGCGCAGTCCGGGCCGTGACTACCCTCCGTCAGACGAACACGGAAGCTGTTTCTGCTCGGATGGAAGGCTTGATTCCATTTACAAGGGCCTGCTGGTGGGATCTTCCATGTTAGTTTGAGGGCATCAAAAGGAAGGGGATGATGAAACTTAGGCCCAGTTGCCCACTGTCACCTGACAGGTTTCCGTTGAGTTCCTGAAAATGGAACTGGCACCCATTTTCCCTTTAGGTCACCGTGCCAGCACCTCTGCCAGCAAACCTGACTCCTGTGTTTCCCTTCCCGTGGCCCACGGGTCCTCCGCTCGCTTTCTTCCCACCAGCTGCCTCAGGTCATCCAACTCTTCTCGCAAGGCGCCAACCAGGCTGGCCGAGAGTGGAAAGTGCATGAAGGCGCCAAAATTTCAGTGTTCCGTAAGTGGGTGGTGTGTGTGTGTGTGTGTGTGTGTGTGTGTGTGTGTGTGTGTGTGTGTGTGTGTGTGTGTGTGTGTGTGTGTGTGTGTGTGTGTGTGTGTGTGTGTGTGTGTGTGTGTGTGTGTGTGTGTGTGTGTGTGTGTGTGTGTGTGTGTGTTTGATGTGTGCTTGCTCCTGCCTGCCTGCCTGCCTGCCTGCCTGCCTGCCTGCCTGCCTGCCTGCCTGCCTGCCTGCCTGCCTGCCTGCCTGCCTGCCTGCCTGCCTGCCTGCCTGCCTGCCTGCCTGCCTGCCTGCCTGCCTGCCTGCCTGCCTGCCTGCCTTGTGCCTGCCTGCCTGCTGCCTGCTGCCTGCTTCTTGGCTGCCCGCATGCCTGTCTGTGTGTCTGCTTGTCTGTCTGTCTGTCTGTCTGTTTGCCTGCGTGTTTGTCTGTCTGTATGTCTGTTTGCCTGCGTGTCTATCTGTCTGTGTGTCTGTCTGTCTGTCTGCCTGCCTGCCTGCCTGTCTGTCTGTCTGCCTGCCTGCCTGCCTGCGTGCCTGCCTGCCTGCCTGCCTGTCTGTCTGTCTGTCTGTCTGTCTGTCTGTCTGTCTGTCTGTCTGTCTGTCTGTCTGTCTGTCTGTTTCTTTGTTTGTTTCTTGTTCGTTTGTTTGCTGTTCAGCAAAACACATCTTTAGGTGACTGGTTGAACACTGGTGTGTTTGCACAAAGAATGCAATGGGTTAGAACTGCCCCTGAGGTTTGGGATGATGATGGACTCAGCCATGCTCGAGTGTTGATGCTTGGATATACCTCGCAAGGGCCTTGCAAACTTATGATGTCTTTCGTGCGCCCAGCAGGGTGCGTGTTGTTCCCCGTAAGCTGTGGTCAAGCGTGTTTGGGGTTGAAGCAATACGGCACACGTCTTAATACTTCCCCAGGACAAACGTATCGAAGCACATCTTGGTTCTTTGCATGGCCCGAAAACCACCTCTTCCCAAGCTATGTGCGGACGAATTCGCGAACTTATGATATTAATCCAGTGAACATTTGGCCCGTTGCAAATAGCTTGGGAGTAGGGTTCTAGGAGTCTAAGGTGAAAGGGTTTACATAGATGCCAGGCAAGTGGTTCAATATTTGTCCAGGTGAGGCACAATCAAATCACGGGCAAGTGAAGCTTAGTAAGGACGAATCCTAGCAAGAAATAGGTGCGTCCGTCGCCCCTTCATTTCTCAACATGGTTTTGGGTGGACTTTTTTTTTTAATGGCTGACTGTGACTCAGGTGATGGCAATACTATACGGCCGGCATTGTGATATCGTAGAGGCATACGAACCCTTCAAAATGTCCATTGCCTTCATATATGTCAACCAACCTATATGTTCATAGATGTGTTACATTCAACTATGTGTTGGGTAGCCCTTTAAGATGTCTGACATGTCCACATTCCCCATTCCTTGGAACTCCCATCGATCATCACATAATCAGCGTTTTGCCCATGGTTCACTGGATAGACTGCAGACATTTCCGGAGGTATCGCCTGCCATCCTCAGCAAGACCCTGGCGTTGTGCGTGCAGCATGTCAGGCACGGGCAGATCTCGAGCATTTCAGTGGAAACGCAGCAGAAAGCCGTACACGGGGAGTCTCATATCCATCCAAGTTTGTATTTCAAGAGGTGAAGCTTCCAGAAGTTTCATTCAAGCATTTACCGTAAATTACCCATACACCCCCAATACCCATGTTTTCTCCATGAAATGCCATAGTTCAGGAGTCGTTCAGGCGAGCAAAGTTGCATCTTGCCTTCCATGCATAACCTTCATGTTTGTAGGAAGATATGTGTAGGAAGGTTGTTGCACAAACTGTTTGTAGGGTTTACAAACGTGTTGTCAAGTTGTTATGCATTTCATGTATGATTAATGGTTTGTAGAAAAGTTGTGTTGCTGTAGAAAGATTGTGTTGCCAAAGTGTTTGTAGGAAGGTTGTTGCGAAGCTGTCCGTAGCATGCAGCGTTGCCAGCAGAGCCGGCGAAGCTGGTTGGCGGAAGCTTCAAATATAGCAACTATAGTTATATTGTTTTGTTTTGTTTGTTCTTTCTCTCTTGATCCTTATATTTCTCTTTATATGATTCTCTGTTTGTTTGTGTCTCCTTCTATTGCACTGTTTCTTCCTTTGTCTCTTTCTCTTGATTATCTTTCCTTTGTTCTTGATTTTGTTCTTTCTCCTGATCGTTCTTTCTTATGTGTCTCTTTGTCTATCTATCTACCTACCCTATCTATCTATCTATGTGCCTATTATCTTTCGTTCTATCTCTGGATCTATCTCGCTATCTCTCTGTCTCTGAATCTCTGTATGTCTCTCGCTCTCTCTATCGTTCCATCTCTATACCTTTCTATCGTTCTATTTCTCTATCGCAGTATCCCTCTATATTTACATATATAGATACATTATATGTATATATACATGTATATCTCTATCGCTCTATCTCGCTATCTCTTTGTCTCTCGATCTATCTATGTGTCTACATATGTAATGTATACGTATGACTGTCTATCTATTGGTCTATCTATCGGTCTATCTATCGGTCTGTCTGCTTATTTGTATATCGATCCATCTATCTATATACCCATCCAACCATCTAACTATCTAACTATCTATCTATCTATCGATCTATGTATCTACAAATATATTTATACACATATATATATATATATTCATCTATGTATCTATAGTTACATCCTTTCACCTATCATCCTGCTTGTCTACCTGTCTATCGTTTGTTATTCCTTCCTCGCTTTTGTTTTGTATTTGTTTTAATTTATTTCTCAGCTTTCTGTCTCTATGTATATCTATCTATAGTTCTGTCTATCTAATCTCGCTATCTAGCTATCTAGCTCTTTATCTATCTATGTTCCTACCTATCTTTCTATCTTTCTATCTATCTATCTATCTATCTATCTCTTTCTATCTATCTGACCTTTCTATCTAATATATCGTGATTGCTGTCTGTGAATATTTCTTACTTTCTTTGTTAGCTTTCTATCTTTGAATGTATCTACTAATCTTGCTAATCTGTAAATCTTATCCGTCGATCCATCTATCTATCTATTTAGCTATCTTCTGAAAGTGCTGCGCCTGCCACCAAGTATGTGCCTGACAATGCCAAGGTGCAGCGCTTGCCACGAAATCTGTACCCGACCTTGCGAAAGTGCTGCACCTGCCACGAAATCCGTACCTGACCTTGAGCAAGTGACGTGCATGCACCAGTCTGCACGTCTGTGCCAATGGGATTTGCGACTAGGCCGTGCCAGCTTTGCCAAAAAGCTGCGCCTGTCACGCAATCTGCGCCTGAGTCTGCAAAAGTGCTACGCCTCCCACGAAATCCTATCTTTGGGGGTCAATATTGCCTGCAAGGTCCTCTGAGCATCTTGGATCCAGGGATCCAGGGCTTGGAATTCTAAGTCTGAGATTTAGATTTAGTTGTAGGGTCTGGTTCCAAAATTTCTCTCAAACAGTTTCCTGAACATCTTGGATCTTGGGCCCGGTTCCAAATCTCAGGATATAGGTTTGGATTCGTACAGTCCAAAAAATTAGGTTCAGCACCTGGGATTGCCTTTTTGGGTTTGCCGCTTGAGGGTAGGGCAATATGAGGCTGGAGGCCTAGCGCCTGCAAGTGTTTGCTTTGTTGGCGTTTTAAGAGCCCTCGTATTTTTGAAGAGTTGTTATTTTGACAGTTGTGAAGGGCTGGCATTTAAGCTTTGGTGCATTTTGCTTGGGTGTTAGGACTTTAACTTTTTGCCAACTAATGGGTTTCCCTTGAACCACTAAAAGTTAAACTTTCAGCAGGGGAGCAGAAAGCAACCGAGTTAGAGTTGTAGGTGTTAAGAGCCCTTGTCAATTTGATGAATTGTTCAAATTTTGACAGGCGTCAAATTACACCGCCAGTACTGTCGTCTGAACTGGCAGATTGCATTATTCTTGCACATGTGTGGGGACATCTTGGATTTGGGATCCAGGGATCTAAATCCATGGTTAAGATATCTAAGCCCGGGATTCAGATTTTGTAGTAGTAGGGTCTATATAGATCCCATAATTGTCTGACAAGTCTCTTGGACATCTTGGTGCCTGGGTCCAATTTGAAACCTCAGGATGTTGCTTTAGATTTATAGACCCTGAGAATTAAGATTTCCAAATCCAGGGTTTTAGGTTTGCAACAAGAGCTTGTCATAGATTATTGGCGAAATGGTTCCAGCGTTGGCGAGTGTTTGACCCCAGGAAACGCATGCTTTTGTTTGTCAACTTCTGGTGCCGATTTTAGTGGCATATGCAGAACATAGGGGTGAAATGAAAGCATATGTTTCAGGATTTCGACCCTTGGACGCAGAAGCCCGTTTTCCGCTTAGAGGAAAGAGACATGGGACCTGCCCCTCTCTGTGCGGGCAATGTTTGGAACATCCTGACTGGGGCTATGTGCCTTGGTCAATCCAGCCTTGGGCTTTGCGGGGGTTGCTATCACGTACCTATGCATGCAACTTAGACAACCCGTTCCTCACATAAAGGAGTGCGGACTATGGCTCATGAGAAATGCTGTCACATTCTGAACCCCCCTTTCGGGGGCATCCCTTAAAAGGCGGCCATTCTCAAGCACCGAAGCGCGGCCATTTGAGTGGCAAACATGGTTTGAAGCCTTTGCTCCATCCTCTTGGGGTAACTTAGGCAGACAAGCGTCAGCATTCCCAGGACTGAGTCAACCCCTTGTTGAAACAGGTTCAAGCCACTACAAAAAAAGGCACCCCAATTTAGGTTGTCCTTTTCCAGAGGGCCATGGTTTTGTGATTCAAGCCAATTTTGCCCAACCCAGATTTCCCCCTTTGCTTACAAGCTGGGTGGGGCAAAATATGGTTTAAACACCACATTTACAAGGGAAGAATCATCATAACCAGTGGTT